ACAGGACTGACTGAGAACTAAATGAACAAAGCAGAACAGACACGCCCACAGTGTGACATCCTGTGAAGTTTGTAAGTTTTTTTTTTTGTACATGTTGGTCCCTGTGTTTTTTCTCATGCAAGCACATGTGGTTAATGCAATAAAAATTCATGAATAAAAACACTATCCCACTGATCTGTGTAAAAGATCACAGATTTTATAAAGAGGGTGCCGCAGTCAGGTATATTGCTAGACCTCAATGATGTTTTGTTTTGGTGAGTAACACTTGACTGTAAATACAAACATAGTTTTGTCACAGCTCATAAATGCAGGATTGGACCCAAATGCAAAAAGAGCAGGCAGGGCAGAAGATTTCAGAGATTTAGTGATATGAAAGGTTTACAGGCCGATGGTGGCAGTCAGAGAGATGGGAACAGACAGGGTCAGACTGGCCATTGTGGCATTAGGGAGTGTTCCTGAACGGCCGGTCTATTTTAGACCGAACCCGCCGAGGTCAGGACTTTTTATTTTTCACTTTCTGATGTTTCACTGTATGATCCGCGACCTCGCAGGCCGGCCAGTCAGCTGTAGCGAACTCTATCAGTCTATCACACTGGGCCAAACCAATACTTTTAAATGGAGGGGGAATAGGTGCAGTGTGGGACCCTCCCAACTTGGACTGATCCTTGTTTTTGCTGAAATCTAATTGGCTCAACAGCAATGACCAAAGGAGTTTACTTTTCATCTGGGGGCGAGTTCAATCTCCAAACATTTTGTCAGGCTGAACTCAGTGCTGGGTTGTGTGATAAGCACTGCAGACACGGTAAATGTGGTGAAAAGACAGAAGAGGACAAAGAAATGTGTGGTGCCGGAAAAAAAAAATTAAGAAGGAAAAAATGTTGGCACAAGAGGCAGCTAAACGTGCCAAATAACTGGCTTCTTGGCAGAAAGGTAGCAGGTGTGGCAGGACCCTCCACAGGCAGTGACAGGTGCATGGTTAGGAGGCTAATGTATTTATTATATACTGAAATTACTTATATACATTTATGTATAGGCGTATACATTAGGCTATATATTTTTAATAGCCTACATTATAAACAACAGTTTGCAATGTGTTATCAAACAAAGACAACATCCTTCTATAAGCAAGGAATCTATATGTCTGTATGTATATTTTCTATTAAGATCAGTGGAGGTGAGGGACAGGGTGATGATGACCCCAGTCATGTTGATGAGGAAGGAGAGAAGGACAAGGAGGAGCAGCAGGAAAGGAGGAGACGGACAGAGAAGAGAAGCAAAGACGCGGATGTCATACAAAAGTTTCTTGAAGGTCTTCAGCATAATTTGATTCACTGTATACAGCAAAAACACTAATACATATTACAATAACTGCAAAAAATATTTCTGCACGCCCCAAAGGGTGCTTGTATAAAAGGCCTCTCCGTCTCAAAGTCCCAGGCTGAATTTCAGTCCCTGAAGATGAAAAGTATGTGGCACCTTTGACTAACTGCCAAGTAATTAGTGGCGAAGGGGGGGTTAAAGTTCAGCAGGGCTGATGAGGAAGATGGGAATAGTTGGGAGGGGAAGGTCCGGTGACTGGGACTGGAGGGGTTACTTCAGGACAAGAAGTAGTGGCTGGAGTCAGTGAGATGGCTGAGACAAATGGAAAATTTAGAGGGCATCTGGTGGACAGGTAGAGAATGGCAGTGGTTAGGTTTGGAGAATATGGCTGGAGAGAAAGACAGAGAAGTAGAATGTGAGAGTTTACAAGAAAAGGCTGCAAGGTTACTTAAATAAAAATGAAACAAAAATCTAACTCTGGAGACTTTGGTCTAGATGATTTTTCATCATGCCTGATGAGTTTTACATGTTGTATACTTATGGCTAAAGATAAAGAAGAAAAAATGAATACAAATGTATGTAATGTGAAACGTACTATTCTAAATAGTGACCTGTCTTATGGGCTGAACTGTGTTATGCTTAATTCTACAGTTTTTATGTTTTGCATATGTTTTGTGAAAGATGAAGTCACGAGATCTACACAGATGTAAATGTCAATATTTTGTCTCGCGAGACTCACTTAATTGACACTCAATTTTCTCATGCATTGACATACATTTTTCAGACGGTCTGAAAGGGATACTGGCATATCAGCAGAGCAATAAATACAGCATTAGGGCAGGTAGAAATTTTCACTTCTCAGTAAATGATGACATTAGTCTTGTAATATTCTGACTTCACAGATATGTGGGATAGATTTTGAATTGAATATATTTCCGAAAAGGTGCCACATGCACAGTTAAAGAGGTTACTCCCCCAAATAAAAGTCACAAAAGAGGAGAGACAACTTTCATGTAATCATGCAATTGTTTACTCATGTGATCAAACCATCGACTCAACAAGGGGCCCCATTCTCAGACGAGAGCAGGTCTACACTGTGGATGTTACAAATGTGAAAGAGCTGGAGATTCCATGGTGAACGCTTGGAGGGCTGCACAGACCTCCATGTGCTAGCCAACGGTACCATGACTGCTGTTAGTTCCTGGGATGAAATCCTCAGGCCCATTGTCAGACCTTACGCTGGTGCAGTGGGTACTGGGTTCCTCTTGGTGCCCAACAATGCCTGGCCTCATGTGGCCAACGGTTCTCTGGATGATGAAGGCATTGACTGGCCCTCATGTTCCCCAGACCTGAATCCACTAGGGGACCTCCGATAAGTTATGTATGGGGCATATGACAACACCAAGTAGTGCAACAGACTGTCCAGGAGCTCACTAATGTGGAGGCCATTCACATAGTCACATCATGATTTGCCCTGATAAAAGTCAAAGGTTTTTACTTTGATTTTTGGTGTGATTTTGAATCCACCGTTATGTCATTTTGTTCTCAACAAATTATACAATGTAAAGTTAAGATTTAGAACTAACTATTTCGTTCATCAAGTGTGATTTTAGTGTCCCCTTATTTGTTTCAAGCAGTGTAGCTCTAGTCTGTAATAGTAGGGAGAGCTGTCAACAAGGGCGTCACTTTGTGTTGAAACGTGATGGGGACATAAGGGCTCAGGTTAAGGGTGTGATGATACACTTGGGTCACCAGAACAAGAGCAAATGATATTTTAAGACTTTTTGAAGAAATATTTCATGCTGAAAAACATGGGGGGTCTGGAGGCCCTCCTTACTGCATTCTGGAGACACTTTCTGCAACAATGTATGGTGGAAATGTCTTGAAACCAAATTCAGGTGGCAGGTGACAATTTAAAATATAAAAATATAACAGAATTTAATTCAGTTATCAGCAGCTTCTTTTTTTAGCTTAAGTAACTTTGGATAAGGCACATTTGTTTCTTCTATTTTTAAATTATCTTATTGTGCAAATAAAACTTTCTCAAAGCATTTTCATTTGTTTTTCAACATTTGTCATTGCAAATGTGTTGCTTTTTAGAACATTTTTAACAAGTGCTTTCAAAAAGTGATGGAGACATTCTAATTGTTACATGTCCCCAGCATCCCCATTGTAAATGACAATTGCTGTCAACGTTTTTTTCCCGCCCTATCCAGGCTGCGATTGGTTGGTTCACTAAAAGTGGCATCGATGAGCTACTTTCTGCGCACTGCTGCATTAAAGGTACCCGAGCTAGTTATGTGCGATTCATATACGATCCAATACCAAGTAATGTACCCAGGCTGGTATTGCCAACACAGATACCAATAACCCCCCCCCAATTCCAAATAATAGCTGCATAATGACAAGACATCAAACTACTGTTCTTTAATTCTAATAAAAATATCCTGTATCACATCTAAGAAGCTCCGTCACAGAGCTGTAGCACAAGCATGATTTTGACAGTCGGAAGGAGAAGTAGTATAGGTATAATTATATATAATTAATTAGACCATCCTGGTGACAGTAAGATACTAAATGACTGTGTTTACATTTCAGAAATATCGATACTTTAGTATGGATTCGCACATCACTAACCCAAGCTTCTCCCTCCTCTGTCTCCCTCCTCTGTCTCCAAGAACAGGTTAGCGTTGCGTAGTGCCCAGAGAACCTGATATGAAGAGGGCAGAGCACAGTACCAGCAACTTGTGGGATGTGCCGGAGAGTAAAGAGTAAAATGTTGAGAGGCTTGTACTGCGTATTAGTGCATACTGGCCCACTTCAAGCACTGGTTAAATGATTAGCATAGAAGAAGTCAGACAGCCATGACAGCAACAATGGTTGGTTATACAAAGCCATTGGAGATTATTCATCTGATTAGAAGAAGAAGTTGCTTATTCAATATATTATTGGTGACATTTTTGTCTGTTGTCAAGTGAGGTCAGAAGATTTGCCTACCAGTTTGCTATGCAACTTCTGCAATCATGTCATCAATGGGACTTCCTGAAACATTTCAGTGAACATTCAAAGTGTTTAATGGAGAAAACCTGTTTACTTCTTTTGTACAACTACAAGCCTCGTCTGTCCATTGGAGGACTGAATTATGCTAAAGAAATTATTCCCACCCACTGCTCCCATTGGCTCCAACCATTAGACAATAGTTGTAATTGTACACATTTTCTATTCAGCACTCTACAACTCCATAATGAGATACGATATGAAGATGTAATGTACACAAAATATGTGCCCAAGACTTTCTTCTTTCATTTGGTTTGACATTTAAAGAATTGTGATGTATGGTGCTAGGTAAATGTTGTTAAATGTCAACAAACCCGCTCTTGCTTGATATTACCTTTCCCACTATATACAGTTAGAAAAGGATTTGGCAGCAGTGACTGATTTGCATTATCCAAAACATTGGAAACAGTCTGAATGCATGGGACTTTGCATATGTCTGCCGTCAAAATAGCTACCGCTATCAATATTTGTAAATCTAAATTATGCAAGGTAAATGGTGGCTAGCGTTAGCTCCTGAAATTGTATAATAGGATTACATTACATTTAATCATTTAGCTGACAACTTACAATTGCTATACATGTCAGAGGCCACACGCCTCTGGAGCAACTAGGGGTTAAATGTCTTACTCTGGGACACAATGGGGGATGTGTCACAGTGGGGAATTGGACTCGGGTCTCTCACACCAAATGCATGTAAGCTAACTTATATATATATACTAATTTATATATAACTGCATGTGTTTTAGATCTCTCCCTGCTCCAACACAGATTACTTAAATGATGAAGTCATTAAGAACTCCAGAAGCTACTTAAATCAGCTGTGTTGGAGCAGGGACAGGTCTAAAACAAGCAGGACAAGGGGTAACTTACACCAGGAGAGATTTGGCAAAACTGTTTTAGTACATAAACTTCAAATCAAATAAGATGAACTCATACAACCAGCAAAGACTTTGCACACTGTTGATGTGTAAAAACAGCTGATTTCAGTGTTCATTTCTGTATACACTGAACAGTTTAACGAAAAAAAAAACGTTGTTAAACTATCGTTAAATGATCTTCGTTTGGACGTCAAATAACTAACCTGACTGTTACAGTCAACGTCAAGACAGATGCAGACCTATGCCCTTGCTAAACGCTATACAAAAATGTTTAATGAAGCCGAACACACAGTTATTTATAAACAGTTAGCTTACGCCCCCCCACCACAGAGATTTACTTACGCTTATTATTTGATAATGATGACAGCTCTGGCGGACCTCCGCTGCTAGTTTGGTTTGGTTTTGAAGTGGTTGGAGCTGTGAACACAATGACACAATGATCATGAGATGCTTCCTGCAGATTTTACACAGACTGAGAGAACTGTGGCTGCTCATTGATGGATAGAAACATTAATAATACACAAAGAATATGAATGTGTTTATAAGTTGGTTTGTTCAATTGTCACAAAAGATTATTGCTGACAAGGAGAATTTTTTTTTCTGATCAACACATCAGTACAGGTATTAACATGGTCTCCCATAAATAGGGTGTAGTCATTTAATGCAAATATGACCTTTAAAATGTGCTGCTAGAGGTTAAGGTGCCAACCATTAACCCTCTTGTTCACATCCACCTTTAACAGAAGGTACATGTATTACAACATTTGATAAAACAAAACTCACCATCTATGACAATGAGCGGAATCCTGCTGTATGAATCTGGAGACAAAGCTCTGCCGTAACCACACCTGTACTGTCCTGTGTCTGACTTGGTCACCTGTGTGATGCTCATTTCCAGTCCAAATGCAGATCCTACTTCATACTTTATGCTGTATCTGCCACTCTGAGTTCTGTTCCCATCTGTTTCAATGATGATGTCCTCTTGTTTTTTACATTCACCCTTACAGAAGAACTTCCATGTTCCGTAAATAGTATCGCCGCATCCAAGTGTGACATCTTCTCCTTCAGTATTTGTAAGGATAAAACCAGAAAATCCAGCCAGTGGCACTGTTGAAAAGAGGAGCAATCATTATTTACTACCTGTAAGATGGTGCAGTTTGATCACAATATTTCCTGTTCTGTTTCACCTGGTTTCACACAGGATGTGACAACCAGAGTCCGAACAGCACAAATAACTCTTATTTATTCTTATACATTCTTCCCACAATTATATTTTTCTTCAGAAATCACTTAATATGGTGAATATAAATTTGGTGTAATTTTGGTCAGTAGAAACTCACCATCTGAAACTCTGACCTCAAAGTCACTGAATGATTCTGGATCCGAAGTCCCGCCCAGACCACACCTGTACCGTCCTGAGTCAGACTTGATCAGATTTGTGATGGTCACAGACACAATTCCTCTTCCAGAAGATCCGTTTCTGTAGTCAATGCTGTATCTGCCACTCTGAGCTCTGACATCATCTGTTTTAACCAGAATATCTTCTGCTTTACATTCGTTCTTACAGAAGAACTTCCTGCTTCCAGAGAGAGTGAAGTAGCAACTAATTCCACCAGTTCCTCCCTCAGCTCCTGTATAAATGTTGACTTTTGCGCTGACGAGCCCAGTGTTTCCACCACTCAGTGCTGTTGGAAAGATTAGAATTAGATTTTGTTATAATTAATTCAACAAACCACCTTATAAACACGTGGATATTCTTTGTGTATAATTTATGTTTCTATCCATCAATGAGCAGCTACAGTTCTCTCAGCCTGCAGGAAGCATCTCACGATCATTTTATCTTTGTTGTTCACAGCTCCAGCCACTTCAAAACCAAATTTGACTCTTGGACCTTTTTAAAATCAGTCCCTGAAACCACTACCCAGCTGACAGGTACCGCTGCAGGCCCTAATTTTTTAAGGGTTTAATTTTTAGTTAAAAAAAAAAATAAAAATATTCCAAATAAGTAATTACATTATTGTTCAATAATTCATAATTTATTGAAATGATTTAAAAATCATTTTGATAAGATTTTAGTTAACATCATGACCCACAAATTGTATCTAATATCTGCAGGATAAGACGTGCACTTGGCATAAAGACAGTAACACCAAAATTAACCAATCAAAATTTAATTTGTGGTAAATCCTGATGGTCAGTACTTCCTGTATTAGACACAGACTGTAAATATTCTGCATGTTAATGAGGGCTAATCAACTTCGAAAGGAACACAATTAAGCGGAGATGATACAAAATTCAGCTCTCACTCACTCTATAGCAGTTATTGTTTTGTACTTGTAGCTAAGGGTGTCCTAATTTTCTAACATGAACTAAATAAATTACCAACATTGAATAACAGATGATGAATATTTAGTTTAGTTTAAATTGCTTTCCATTTCATTACAATGGGCTGGATCAGATTGTGGAAATGCTGCAGCAGAAACTAGTAACAGAAAACATCAGAGAACAACAGGACATCTGAATAAGAACACAGCAACTGAAAAACATTTATCATTCAACATTTGGACAAATGTCCAGCAGTGTGTGCTGCAGCTTTAAAGAGACAGTCAGGTAATCAGTCCTCACCTGAGAAGAAGCAGAAGAACAGAACACGGTGGATATTCATTCTGAGTTTGATCCTGATGGAGACAAATCATTCAACTGCAGGAGAACTGCCTCTATCACTTCACTCCTTCCACTCTGTCTGATCAGTCAGGAAGATGAAGGTGCTTTAACGTTTACTCTGACAGCCAGTTCTGGGACTCTGGGTGTGTTCTTTGTTTCACTCGTTTCTCCTCCCATTCGGTTTGTCTCTCCGTGTGTGTGTTGGGTGTGACTTCACTCATGGTACCTGTACAGTTTCACACAGGTTCATAAGCAGAGATAGCACGTTAGCGGCCGGCCCAGCGCCCCAGCTGGTTAGGGGACAGTTGATAAATAACACAGTAGGCCGAGAGGAGGTGCATGTAGTTTACTTCCATTAATGATCAAAGGTTCACTCTTTTATCAATGAAACAGTCACTTCACTCCTGGTTTCAATGGTAAACCACCACAAGAATTTCAATTACCAACAAAAAACTAATAAATAATAAAGTAACATTTGTTTTCCACGTAAATGGCAAACTTATTAGAAAATTTTGACAAAAATGTCTTCAGCGTCATGCATTGCGTGAATTCTAAACGATGGATGTATCAAACTGGATTCACACAGGCGGCAGCTGCACTACATTTTTGTTCTGTCTTCTGCCCGGCGTCAACTTACGCCAGGAAGAGGACGTTTCATTGTAAGCGAGTGTTTCATTGTAAGCGAGTGTTTAGCCTGCCCCACGTTGTTGACTAGTTTATTTGTATTTTCTTGTGCTTCTACTACCGATCACAGCTCTCTGTGAACTGGTTTTGTTCTGCTCTCTGCACGGCTAAGATCCCACATGGAGCATTTCAGAATAAGAGCATTTTGCCTGCCTGATTTTGCTGACTTGTTCAGACTTTGTTGATTGTTTCAGGTGCTGTTGTTTATTGTGCTTCTACCATGGTTAAAAAGTCTGTGTAGTTAAATTGTTTCTTTTTTGTCTGTTTTAACTGTGTTTATTGTTGATATTTTTTTGTGAAGATGAATAAAATAACGAAAACTAGATGTGAAAAATTGTTGTAAACTGAAATAAAAATTAAAACGAGGATTTACAAAAAAAACTACAACTAACTAAAACTGTATTGTACGTTTGCAAAACTAATTAAAATAAACAAAAAAAAAGAGTAAATGTCAGTTCTCGCCTTTGTCAATTTATTTTATATGACTTATATTTTGGGTGGATATGAAGCTGGTTGAACTGACGTTACTAGGTCGTTGATCTAGCTGGATCGCCAATTCACGATAGACGATAGATTGATTAGACGATAGGCACCTGTTGGTGTGCCGCAGGTCTTTTATGCATTTGTTCTCCGCATGAAGGGCTTGCACGCTGCATGTCGAGTGGCTGTCCAGCTAAGACTGCTTTATTCGTCAAGAGAGCCCGGGTCAGAGCAGCGTCTGGCCGCACTGTAGCAGGTGGCGGTCCGCTGTTAAGAGGAGAGCATAGGAAATAAATAACATTAACAAACATAACATGACATTGCCCAAGCTGTGATTGGTTTTCTTTTGTTTCTCTTCCTATCTTACCAGTGTTCTCCTCTCTCTCCAAGATCTTTCTCAAGTTTCTGACCTTCTGGAGAGGATTCAGCTCCACCACATCTGAGGAGATTCCACCTGACAACCCACTGCCACGGGCCTGCTCGAACCCCATCACTCCGCCTGGACCAAATTCTTGTTGAGTTTTTTGAGAATAAAGACTGTGAACTTCCTCCTCGCACTTTCTTTGTCTTGTCTTTGTCTGCACCTGGGTCCCCCTGAAACAAAACCTGTGTGAACACCTAGTGAAAGCCCTTCCTCTTTCCTATACCTTTTGAAAACCATATTTTTGTAATTTTATTTTTTAAATATTTTTGCACCACTTTTTATACTGGGTCATGTTCGGGCACTGTATTAACACCTTACTCAGTCTGTTCCACAGCTTCACTCCACATATAGAGATACAAGAACCTTTCAATGTTGCATGGACACAAAGATGCTTTAACTGAACTTCTCCCTTAAACTTGTTTTTCAACTCTTCAGATCTTTTCCTCTTCAGCTGTTTCTCAGACATCTCTCCTTGTGCACAGCGCCCAGAGTCCCATAATAATTCCAGAATGTTTGAATGTACCAGTGTTGGCAACTTTCTCTCTCCCAGAGCCCTTCTTCTCTCACAAGCACGCTACCGCCACCTGTTGCTGATTGGCTGGAAAAATGCTCCAAGCCACTTAGTTTGTGTTCCATTCACAGAGCCAGGGGCTGTGAAGGAAAACTGGATATTTCACATGTGGACTTTTATCACGGAGATTATTAAAGTCAGAGAGAGTCGGTCTGTCAGACACTGTCTGACAGACACACTGTAGTATTTAGACTCAGTCCCACATACACCGCCTGCTGACCCAGATCATCACTAAAGCACCACATGTGGATTAATTTACCACTGAAAATAGTCTCCAACAAATGCACTATTTCCTCCTGTTTGTTTAATAAAAACTACAGTCAGCAGTTGTTTTAGGAGGCCTAATAAAATTGAATATTAATATTTATTTGCCTGTTTTGAACAGCGAGGCTTGTGATGTTTATATTGTGTTGAAATAACTTAACAAAATGTTCAGTCTCCTTAAAATAGTTTGAATTCCAAATTTCTTTAAAAGCCGTGGTCGACTCTGTCCGGGCATGAACAGTCTGTAATATCACACATACAGATTAATCCCAAAACATAAAAGGAATCCACAATCCACCATATAAATAAACAAATCAACAAATGCATGGCATACATTACCACAGTGGGAGATCAGTAATTTACTTTAGCATAAAATAATAATTCTTTGTCACACCGTCTGAAAGCGTTGTGTAATTGCAATTCCAAACATGTTGCATTTAACCCTGGACTCAGGGAGACTCATCTGTGATGCAGCACTGAATCTGTGTAAACGTTTCAGTCAAAATATCTCTGTTCTCTGTGTTATCCAGACTTCAGGGACAATGTGTCTCTGTGGGATGATATGATTGACCCTAAAGCTGGATAAATAACAGGCTCACTCAGCTCTCCTCACTCATTCGAGCATACATGTACACAGCGTATGTGTGTTGCTGTGAGTCCTTCTGCAGAAGACTTGAATAAAATTCACAGAAAGACAAGTGTTTGCCTGAGCTGTTTATTAGAAAACTGGAATTGCCATCACAATTGTTAATGACGCACCTTTGAGTATTTTTCAGTCTTTTATGTAAACGTGCAGTACCATCTTTCACCACACAGGACCCACCAACATAATACAAATAAAGAATGACAAACACAATGACTTCATTAAACTAAAATAACAATTACAAAATGACGCTTAGTGTGGCATATTAAATGCTGGACTGTATTGATTTCTTTATGTTTTTCTCAAAGTTTGGGAAAGAATAACCAACACCTACATTTCTGAAGACAGATTTGACATTTCACAATAATCAAGTGATAAAATGCTGAACAACCTGAGACAAATGATCAGCTCTGCATCATCAGAAGAGAGAGATGATAATATGATTTATAGATAATATCTGCCAAAAGAAAAGGAAAAAAATGGAACCTTACAGCACATTATAAGCTGCACAGTACAAAACCAAGATTCAAATGCAAACATTACTATTTGTATCCGGTCTTAAAATGAGTCCCTCAATTGAAGTTCTGGTAGATGGAGTCTTCACATGTGGAGACTGGAGGACAGTTCTCATAGATGATGGACTGAAAATAAAACAGGAACGACATCAAAACTAAAATACAGTGGCCAGACTAACAGACCAGACATTTATTATTCCTAAGCAACTGTTAAATAGCACATTTAGAGCAAGAAGTACAAGGTAACTTCTAAAGTAAGAGTAATAGCAAGATAAATTGTACCATAATAAGACCAGCATAAGCATAACTGAGTAAAATCAATATTGGTGCAAAGAATTTAAAACAAAGGATGTAGAAGGGGACACTGCACTGCCTACAAAACACTATGTTAAGAGTACTTAACTCTTAACATAGGACCAACTGAGAACCTGACATTTCTATCCACAGGGCCACACTATTCTTCTCCAAAGTCATCTGTCAAAAAAAACATAGTCACCTCCACCTCCATCTGTACGCTGCCTGCATTTCCTCTGGTGTTCAAACCAGTATTCCTCCTTGTCTTCCATTTGTAGATGACCAGCAGAGAAACAGCCAACAGCACAAGAACCAAGGGCAGGCACACAACCAGAGGCAAGAAGTAACCTGGGCGAGGGACACAGGAGAGGGCTGGGAGGAAAGAAGAAAGAGAGAGAGACAAGTAGCAAATACACGGTTTATTAAAAGGGAACTTTTTATCTTTAACTTGGAACATAAGGTGCCCTGTGAAGTTTTTGATCACTAGTAGAGCTATTTTGTTTCATATGTTTGACCCTGTTGTGTTTGATTTCATGCAAGCACATCTTGGTAAATGTAATAAAGATTCCTGCCAAAAGACACCAAATCTCTGCATTCAAGTCAGTTGTTAGACCTCAAGGATACACAGTGTTTTGGTGTTTTAAAGTGCTTTCACAAGAGCAAAGAAAATAAACACAGCAAACAAAAGAAGATACACGCTAAAAGCAGGAAGAAAGTTATGAAATTAAAATACAGTTAAAAGAAAAATAGATAATTAAAATCAACTAAAATCAGGAAAGACTTTTATATAAAAGTATGTTTTAAGAAGGGACTTATAAGAGTTCACTGACTCAGCCGCCCTGAATTTCCTCGGGCAGGCTGTTCCAGAGCCTCGGGGCCCTGACAGCAAACGCTCTGTCCCCTTTAGTTTTCAGTCGAGAAAATGCGAATGTGTGTGTGTTACACACTCCTGTACAGTAGATTGCGGTATGCACCTAAACATTTTTTACAATCCGGTCTTAATCAAGAGAAGAAGCAGCAGAAGGTCGGAGTCAGTGGTGAGTTCATTCATGCAATCAATTAAAAACGGATAAACTCTTAAATTACAATTTTGGCCAAAGATATACTTTGCATATTTCTGGGTGTTATTGTTGTGTCCCTGACGTTAACATATTTGATACATATTTGAACATCATTTAACACTTTAAACTGCAACAGCGTTTCAATTAGACGTTAGCGAATATTAGCTCAACACTAACTTGTTACCTATAGCAATTCATAATAACAGACTTTAGTTGTTTCTTTATTTGATTTTACCTAAGGAACACATCAGTGTCTTTTTTAAAAATGACACATGCATAGGGCACAGCCAACTGTGCTGAGAAAGTCACTTGTTGTTAACAAAAAAGACTGTCTGAAACAGGTTTTCTTATAAACACAGGATAAGTTGGAAGAGGTGAGCTGCAGGAGATATCTTCTGAAGATCCCCACCCTGGATCCTGCAGCAATTTCTGCCAATGTGCGGGATGACAGTGATATCCATTCCAATCCCAGCTGACATTGGGCGAAAGCCGTGACTCTGTTTCACAAAAGCAGTGGACCATACGTTACCATGGCGATTTATTCTGTGCAGCAAGCCTGCTCTGGACCAGGCTAAAAGCCAGGCTTAGTTAATCCTGGTCCCTTGTCTGTTCAGTCAGCAGTCACCCTGATCAGAAACCAGTGTGTTTTTTTCAGTTATTCCACGTTCTTATGTATGTGTTTTGCACATTTTTCATTAGCCTGCATTAAAATAGCAGTTTGTGATTATTAGGTTTCCTAATTGGAGAAGACGCCTGCATCGTACTTTGCACACAACAAGCATCAGCGAGTAGGTTTACGTGGAATGAAAGCACATGTAAAGAAAAATGATAAAAGAAAAAGTAACACTGGCACAGCAATAAAACAGTGAAAGAAAGTGTGGCAGACAATAGCAGACCGAAAGAATGTGTGAGTGGCTAAAAATATCACCGCTCTTAACTGAAACTGTCATTAAAGCAGACCGGATGTGTGTGTTTTTGGAGAAGGGCAGTTACAAGGGGTCTCTGAATGATCAGATAAGGAGACTTGAACAATGGGTGAGAGGCGGTTTGGAATGTGGTACAAAAGATCTGTTCTCCAAGATATCTCATTTCAGGGACTACTCTCGTAATCTGCCCAGCAACAGCATGGTGATTGGTGGAGTCAGAGGATGAAACATTGGGGTCAGAGGACGTGGGCCAATCATGGACTGACCTACATTTATTGTTTTATGACTTGATGTATACTGGGTCAGGGAGAGATAGCGAGTCAGACTTCATGGAGTGACCCTGTTGGTGGTCAGGGAAAGGAAGACTCACAACCCCGAGCTCTTTATTCATTTACTTGTAATAAAAGTGATTTATTTTGACCAAAAACGCCGTCTCCTATTGCTTAATTAAAGAACAAGCAGGACCAAGGACAACACATAGTTTAAAAAGGGTGATTTAAAGTCACGGTCCAACAATTGCCTGACTGGCTGTCAGACTGAAGGACAAGTTACAAATATGATACACTATTTTCTATGGGCACCATATCTCTGACTTATTATCTATTATCCATATTGACTAAACAAGTTCACCATTTTCACATAAAATTGACATACCTCCAGCCTTTCTGCCTATGGAGGACTGATTCTGACAAATCCAGAAATAAATCCAGAAATAATTAAATGCTTAATAAATAATCCGATTAAATGCACAAAAAAATAAAGTAAATAAATAAATGTAGGTAGTAATGAAATT